ATATTTTCACAATGAGAAAAGTCCATTAGTTTTATCTATTAGTTAGCATTATGAAATTTTATCAACAATGAATAAGATCATCATTCATCAAATATATAGAAAGGATCTTGGATTAATGATGTACTTAGGAAAGGTCACTCATAAGAAAAGGTTTATTTTCCTTAGTTAATCACAAGGATTTTAACCATTAGTTAACTTGAGAATTTGTAGTCATCAACAACAAAATTAGATAATCATTTAACAAAAGTATACAAAATCATATACAAATAGATACAACATATTTTCACAATGAGAAAAGTCCATTAGTTTTATCCATTAGTTAGCATTATGACATTTTATCGACATAGAATAAGAACATCATTCATCATTCATCAACTCTATAGTAAGGATCTTGGATTAATGATGTACTTGGAAAGATCACTCAATAAGAAATAGTTTTATTTTACTTAGTTAATCACAAGGATTCTAACCATTAGTTAACATTAGGATTTGTACTCATCAACAACAAAATTAGATCATCATTCGACAAAAGTATACAAAATCATATACAAATAGATACAACATATTTTCACTATGAAAAAAGTCCATTAGTTAGCATTATGACATTATATCAACAATAGAATAAGAACATCATTCATCAAATATATAGTAGGATCTTGGATTAATGATGTACTTGTAAAGATCACCAATAAGAAAATATTAATTTTCCTTAGTTAACATTAGGATTTGTACTCATCAACAAAATGAATTAGATCATCATTCAACAACAGTATACAAAATCATATACAAGTAAAGTTTCATGTTCATGAGTTAACATCAGGGCTTCTGATTCAAAGATTTAAATTAACGCTAAACAAAACTGATTAATTATTAACTTACGTAAAAAACGATGTTCTCTTTGAGAGGTCCATGGATGACGAGCATCTCCTTCTGCGGCTCAGGATGCGTATAAACACCTTCGACTCCACCAAAATCGTGGACTCCATCCAACTCTTCGCTACTGCAAAAGCGATAAATTTCGAACATTTTAATCTCCTTCCAAAACATTCGAATAAGTGTCGACGAGGACGTACAATTTTCCATTAAGGTAATACTTCTTCTCGTCCGGCCCGGTTATGGCGATAGTGTTCTGCGATGGTGCGAGCTCCTCAATCAGGACATTCCGACATCCCCGGAAAATAACTCCGACTTTAACGTAGCCTGCGAAAGGATAACGGGGCGTGTGGAAGCGGGAGAAATTCGAAGAATGAAAAAGAAAAAATGAAGAGCGGCCCATGCATAAAATATAAGCAGAGCCGCCCCCGCACTCGAAAATTACTTTCCAGAATTTATTGCCGCAAAGTATCGGAAAATATTCTTATATATGTGCGAAAATGCTGCGTGGGGGAGGCGAGGTTCTGATGATAATAAGCCTGAAGGGCGGCTGTGCAAAAAAGGGAAGAGGAGAGGCGGCGGCAGCCCTTTTTATTATTACTATTATCGTCGTCATTCACATACTCGGAGAAGGAAACTTTGCATCAGATGATAATTGTAGATATTCACTCAAGCTAAATAACGGAAGGGTGCGAAAACCCACCAAATTACGTCTCGTTCGGCAATTCAATTACCCCAAAAAGGCATTCACCCTCTCTCAGCAGAAATAATTTGGATTGGAGACATACCTAGTTTGCTGGGCGTTGAAAAAGTCTTGTCCACGATCTTGCATTCGGTGCCATCGCCTTTGCACACTCCGCAATCATCTTCAACAGCTTCGGAATCCAAGACGTTATCGCATCCTACAGCCTGAAACCTTCACAAAGTCGAATCATCCCACCTATGTTTGATACCGCACCTACCCGACAGATCCCAGCGACGCACATGTTCTTCGATCCCGCCTTGCATCTGGTCCCATCCTTGACTCTAGGCTCCAGCTTCGCGTACGTGTTGTCCGGATTGATGCAGTACAAGCTACACGGATCACCTGCAAAAAAAACAAATCAAAAGGATAATTACGAACCAGAAAAGGAATCAAAAGGACCACACGCATCGGTGGTACTTTCGAGAGAAATGGGATGTCACGGGTTCTCGAACACCATTCGCTCGCTCTATCTATCTCTTCACAATGCGTGAATAATCGCACCACATTATTCAAACCGAAAACAATAAATATAAATGCGCGCATACAAATAGATAGGCACGATCATCCATCATTTATCTCAGCTGGAAATAAAATCGGAGGCCTACACATATACACAAACAAATATTCAGACACGAACGCATTAAAGCACCTGCATTTTTATTTTTCACGTCTAGCAAGTTCGGTTTCAGCAAATCCCATTTGTAAAATTATTTCCCATCAATCACAGTTTAGATTAAGATATAATATATCTTAACGACAGTTTACACAAAACAATAAACTTCATAAATCCAGTTGTCTCAGTTCAAATACATTCATTGTAATTAATACCGAAATTCTAGTACTAGTTGATAAAATTATCACAATTAATTATACTAATACTAGTATTTGAAAAAAATGTAAAAAAATCTATAAACTATGTCCTAAGTTAATGAAATGGGCGTCGTATAGATGTAATTTATATATATATATATATACAAATTTGATTAGGTAACACCCACGTTCCGGGTTTCTGGTTTGTTGATTCAATTAACTCCCTAATGGTAGTTCCATGTAGAACACAAAACAAGTGTGTCTTGGGTATAGCCTTATCGAAGCATTGCATCAGCCTATATACGACGATATTTCTTCCCCGCGTAGCTAACAATTAATCAAATCTCCCACTACGAATGTACCTTCTCGTAAATGCTTAATTAACGGACGACATCCGTGTAATTGCTGTATTTTCTAATTGTTTACTTATCGTTTGTACAGCAATAAATGCCTTTGTGATTTATACACATTGCTTTAAGGAATGATTTACTTGTAGTATAAAGCTAAAAGTAATACTTATCATGTAGCTTCAACAAATGTACTGTAGAAGAAACAAAAACTTAAGAAACTGCACATTAAGGGGTTTGATGAAGTGCCTCTTCTTGTATTTTTGTGGCTAGCGTTATATTTTTGTTTACGAGGCGAATATATTCGTCATAAT